AATCTTATTTTTCTTTTTTTCGTATACATATTTCTAGGATCAATTAGAGGGTTTTTCAACATTAAAACGACCATGTCCGTTATATTTTTGAAAAACGTTGTAATTCTTTTTTTAGGTAATTAAGGTTGCAATCTTCTATAAAAATTATCCTTATTTTGTTTAAGTGTAATTTACAATTTCATTATTAAGATTAGTTTGTTTTTTAAGTGTAATTTACAATTTCATTATTAAGATTAGTTTATTTGGCTTATGCAGCGTTTTAAAAAACGCCGAGTCGAACCGGACTCGCTCGGTTCGACTCGGAAATCGCGAAAAGGGACCGGATCGGTTAAAAAATCGGAAATCGTCCGGTTCTAGAGAGAACCGGACGATTCCGCACAGTGACTCGCCGATTCACTGTGCGGAATCGGCGAGTCCGTGAAGAACACGGGTTGCAAAGTGTTCTTCACGGGATTCTTTGAAATTTGTCATTTTTTGATCATTTTTCTTGTTTTTTTTGGCATGTGATCTGATTAGCAGGCTGTAAACAATTTTATTCAGCTTTTTCAAGGATTAAAGGGTGAAAAAAATTGTTGTTTTTGGATCACGAAAAATTTGGTGTTTAGGGTTTCCGCCTTTTCAGAAAGTTTCATGCCAAATAGGGCATGAATCTTTCAAAATGTGTAGGCCTTTTGATCTTAAAGCTGTGAATCAAAACCTTTTGTTACTAATTTGTGATAGTCGTTGAGAAAAACTGAGTTTTTTGGAGATTGAAGGCTTCGGTTCACAAAATCAGGTAAGAAGTTTGGGTTTTTTTTTTTTCCGCCATTTGATTTATTTCACAGCATATTTTGAACATAATGAGTTCAATAATTAGGGTTTTTAATCTTTATTGTGTCTAGTATGATTAAAAATTTTCAATTTTACGTAATCTGGTCAATTACAGCAAGAAATTTGAGATGAACACTGAGATGTCTGCGGAACCAAAATTCCGCTGTTTTTTTTTTTTTTTCCGCCTTTTGATTTTGTTTTCATGATATATTAGAAATAATGTGTTAAAAATTTAGGGTTTTGATTCCTTATATTGTTGTTTATCAGAAAATAAACTCAATTGGATGTAATTTATTGACTTAGAGGTGAATTTTTGAGTTAAAATCGCTTATGTAAAACGACTCTGTGAAAAACAGAAATTTTTTTTTTTTTTTGTAACCCATGATAGAATTTTTTGTAATCCATAATCGAATTTTATTTTTTATTTTTATTTTTGTAACCCATGATAGAATTTTTTGTAATCCATGATCGAATGTTTTGTAATCCATGATCGAAATGTTTGTTTTTTTTGTAATCCATGATCGAATTTTTTGTTTTTGTTTTTTATTTAACCCATGATAGAGTTTTTTGTAATCCATGATTGAATTTTTTGTTATCCATGATGTAATTGTTTTTTCTTTTTTGTAATCCACGATCGAATTTTTTGTTTTTTTTGTTTTTTTTTTTGTAATCCATGATCGAATTTTACGTAATCCATGATCGAATTTTTTGTAATCCATGATAGAATTTTCTGTAATCCATGATCGACTTTTTTGTAATCCATGATCGAAATGTTTG